TCTTGCGTTTGCGTTTAATTTTGCCATTTCCGTACTAAATAATGAAATCTTTGTAAGCAATCAAACTGATTGACCTAATTTTGTGACCTCGTGACTACTCTCTGTTCCTTGTTTTGTATCTTTTCTTTTTGATCTTTTGTTTCTTTACAAAAAAATGGGGAGATAAATAATTTAATAAACTAGTAAAAAGAAATGAAAAGAACATATTAAACAACCAACCCTTATTGGATTAGGTTAACTAATGCATTTTTTATTTGCAAAATACATTCAATTAGGTTGGGTGATGATGATATTTTATCCATATAATGAATCTAGAACACATTAAAATGTTGTCTAGAGAAAATAACACGTTGTTTTATCATATTCTTTAAACCAGCAAACGTTTTATGTAACAAAACAACATGATTATACGAAATATGAAAAGTATTTTGGTCAAAACGAGTATTTAATATAACAGTTTTGCCATTTGATTAATCACTTAATTGTTTTTTGCTCTTGACTATTTAGTTAATTTATCCTAAGATACTCAAATGTATCATTGCCACTAAATTAAGGCAAAGAAATGATATATAACTGATAATCTCTAATCCTTGTAGTTTCATATTTTGTTTAATGAGTAAAGATTTAGAGCAATTACGAGTTCGTACTACCGTGGAGCATTAGGAGCATTGCTAATCTACGACACCACAAGACGACCAACTTTCGAAAACATCAAGAAATGGCTTTTTGAGCTCAGAGATTTCGCCAATTCCGACATTGTCGTTGTCCTCGTAGGTAACAAATCAGATCTCCGACAGTCTAGAGAAGTCGACGAAGACGAAGGAAAGACTCTAGCTGAATCAGAAGGTCTCTATTTCCTCGAAACTTCGGCTTTAGAGAATGTTAACGTCGAAGAAGCTTTTCTCGTGATGATCGGACGTATACATGAGGTTGTGACCCAGAGGATTGCTTTAGACAACAAATCAAACGGCGTTGCGACAGCTCACGTTAACGGTAACGGTAATGTTCTTCCCGTTGGTAAAGAGATTGTGAATATCAACGAAGTCACTTCTACTCAACCTTTAAACTCTTCTTACAATTGTTGTTTAAGGTAATTAAGTAATGTATTTTTTATTGCGTTATTGTTTTGGAATACTTTTGTCCAATATTACAATCAAATTCTGTTTCTTACAAGCAATTTTGTACACAATGTCATCAAAGAGAGTGTAGTAAAAAACAAAGAACTCAAAATGAGCTTCACAAATCAGTCATCTTTCAGTTGATAATCTTCTCTTTTTGCCGTTCTTGGAGTATCCTCTAACTTTCTTGCACGTAAGCTAAACTTATTACACACTAGACAAGATACAAAAGAGATGAGACTGAAATTGTGTAGGTTACTTACGAGACAGCTACTTCTTCAGGGAGATTTCGGTTGTAAAATGGAAGCTCAAAGAGAAAGACCTTCTTGCACCATCCTGGTATGTTCCCATACACTCCTCTCGGTAACAGAAACAGAGGACTAGAGATCGATCGAAAATAGAAACACATTATATTGGGCCGAAA